GGGGGGGGGGGGAATCCATTTCTTTAGTAGCGCCTCCTTCAACTTGCAAACCGGCCTTGTAAAACTCAGCCAAATGAAGAGGTAAACATCAAAGTCAAAGGTCGGATTTTGCCTTCCATTTATAGCCAGCCAGCCATAATCTCACTGCAAGCAATAAATTACCAGGCTGCTTTGAAGCAGGCCCACCCCACAACAGAGGAGTACCATGAAAGAAGGCTTTGCCGACCCCTTTCATGGAGAAAGTAGTGTTTTTTGCACCTCGAGAAAAGAGCTTTTTTTGGGATTCTGCAGCAGAATGCTACCAGGAACATGATATGTTCAAGGAAGTCACAGAGCCACAGCAGCATCATGACAGTCAATCATTTGCACAAGATTATAAAATAAATGTTACCGAAATTAATAATTTTTTTTTTAAATTGCCCCCACACAGTACAGCGTGAAACAGAGAAGGCCACAACTCTGCAGCCGTACCAGTGTAAAGTGGAGTAATTCTGCAGCAAATAGATACGTCCCGATGTGCAAAAGGGCACATTTTTTAAGTCAATTCACACAGTCGGAAAGCCTGGTGAAGATGTCTCAAGTCATGTTAGTGGGATGTGCTGTAGCCTGAAATGTTTGTTGGTTACATCCTGGCCAGCTAAAGCAGGTTCGTGCATGCTATCCATGAGTCTTAATGGGGCTTTCCAGTCATACTGAGCCAACTCAGCTGAGCTAACAGAAGGAAAAAAACAAAACAAAACAAAACCATATACCCTTTTTATCTGTCAGGACATGGCTAGTGGACTTACTCCAGATTTTGCTGGTGAAACAGCGCATGTGACCCAGAATCAAATGCATAGCTGTAACATAGCAAGGTGTAAGGGCAGGCTCTACTCAGGTAGTCTGGATTTATGCCAGCACAACCCTACTGACTAGTGGGGCAAATTGCCTTGGGGTAAATTGAACCCAGGACCAGGCCTGGGGTTTGTAAAAGTCTCCCAGAGAGAACAGTTCTTTATATTCTGGTTCTGCCCTGCTTCATCATATCCATTAGGAACAGCACCCCCCCTTCCCCAGTGATACTTATCTGTTTGCATAAACGTGCCTAAACACTTGAGTACAAAACTGCTCCATGGGGGTCAAGTTTCTCATCATTACCCATTCTCTGCTTTACAATGCAAAACCAACTTCAAATTGTTATAAATTTTAATAGCTAAATTGTCCTACTAAATCAAGTTCTCATTGTGCAAGTGGCAATACTTCCACTTATGCATGTGACCAGCTATTTTCCCTTAAAAAAAAACCCAAGCCCAAAACAATGGGCTCTCCTATGTTCCCCCTCCGGTAACAAGTGCTCCATATACAAAGCTCCAGCGAATGAGAAAATGTGAACGTGGAGTGAGTCAATGTAAGACACCAGATATATGACTTGGGAGTCCAAGGAAAGCTATGTGGATAGGGCCAACACAAAACTAGAAGCAAGTCCTTCTTAAACAACATTTTACACGCTTGGCAATAGTTAATTACTGGCCAGGAAACAAAAGGAACTATTTTGCTTCATTCTCCAGCACTGACACACAAGTATAATCCTTTAATTAGACCAAGTATTTTAAGAGGAAGCAAACTTTATGTTAGATATAAAAGGAAATCAATGAAAAGGTTACATGCAGCTACGTGGCACATGCTCAGACTCACAGAAGGCAAAGCTTGGCAAGTATAAGTGAAAATGGGGATGGTAAGGAAAAAAAAAATGCAAGTGGTTTCCATTTTTTCCCAGGCTGGGAAGAGTGTAGTCAGCAGGGGGTACTGGCTAGCAACGTGGAGGCATTTAGTTGCATAAAGGCCCTCCCTCATCACAGCTCAAGTCAGGCTTGTTCTTATCTGACCCTAGTACCGGGGGAGTGGTTTCAGTGGAGCAGTGAGTCCAAGTTGTTTGTGCTAATACATAGCTCTTGGTAGAAGAGTGGAGGCGTAATGGATGGCAATGCCAGAATAGGCAAGTGCCTCGCTATTTTTACAAAACCATGCTGGAGAGGTCCTAACCCGCCCCACTGTGTAGAACACTTTGTGACATGGGCCATGCTGCCCAGGGATGCTACATTTCCACCCTGCTAGCAAGAGCTGCGATTTAAACAGCCCGTGGATTCAGTACTGATGTGGACAGGAGGATTTAACGTTTTGGGGTCTGGCTAGCATGTTTACAGAAGGCTTCCTATTCAACACATCCATCTGCAATTCATTCTGCACTTAAGAAGTCCTCATGAAGTTAGCTTAAACGTTTCTTCTTTTTCTTCCCCTGTGCTCGGTCTTCAGTAGATTCAGCTGCCTCTTTTTTTTGCTTTTTCTGTTTTTTCTTATGCCGTTTCTTCTGTTTTGCCCCTGAGTCTTTTACCCCAGTATCCTCTCTGTCAGATATTGCAGTGTAAGCCTCTCCTCCACCTGGGAGCACACAAGGCTCTCCGTTACAACTATTGCCTCTGTCTTGGCATCTTTTCTTAGCTTTCTTTTTCTTCTTCTTCATTTGGCTTTCAGTGTCTGAAACGTCCAGTTTTTCTCCATTCAGTCCCTCTAGTCTAGAGCGTTTCACCACTGCTTCTTCGTAATCAACTATATTTTCTACCTCGACCTCTTTGTGGCTTCTCTTTTTCTTTTTGGGTTTGGTTTTCAGTCCTTCTGAAAGCTCAGAGACTTTAGCTGCAGCTGCGCGAGGATCAGCTACCTTGGTCTCTGGTCCATTGTGGGAATTCTTCAGTTTGGCCATGCGCTGAGCAAAATATTCTTGTACTGTGAGGGTGCTGGTCACCGTATTATCCACTGGGTCAGGTGCCCCAGGGTCTTCGTTTTGGTTCTCTTCCTGTGAATCAGCACTGGAGGTGTCCTCCTGTTAGGAAGTAATTGAAAGATGATTAGGGGAAAGGTTGTTATACTTCTTGCCCTAAATTTTAACATCCATGAAAAAAAAAGCCAAGCAAAGTATCTAGTGTTCAACCAGAGGTTAACAGCAGATGCTCCAGAGATTTTAGTGGGAGCAGTGTCCAACCACTAGTAAAATGAGGAAGGAAGAGAACGGATTAAGTTACTCCGAACATTACACTACTTTATAATCATACGTAGAAAAATAACCCAGAGTACTGACATCAAAAGAGGAGGAAAATTTACACTTCATAGATTAAGATTCTCTATCATGTTGCACCTCTGAAGTTAGTCACCTCCACTTGTGCAATTTAAATAAAATGGGTGTGTACAATGCTTCCAAATTAGAACAACAGTATATTACATACACTTAGTCCAGAAACGAACATCTCCATGAAATACAAAGCAGTGAGAAAAAAAAAATCAATTGTGTGATCCATCAGCACGTGGCAGAAGGGAAGTGGTGGAAATCTCAAAATTCAAACGCACGTGGCAGGGGCCAATCCAGCACCGAGGGGAAAAGAGCTCATCTCACTTCTCTCCTCTCTTTTGATTCTAGATTCATCACTGATTCTTTCTAACAGCCTCTCACAATGTTCTTTCATAGCTGGTTTCATCTCATTAAACTCTCCATGTTATTATCTAAATACGCATTGTATAACTGGTATTATTGGATAACACAGACACCATACAAGACCAAATCTTGTAAGGATTTCACACCGAAACCAGTTCTGAAGTCAACAGGTGTTCTGTATGCAGAGGGCTGCAGAAAGGGTTCCTGTTATCTAGACAGTAAACCCCAAATAAGAAGCAAACTACAGCTACTGATCAAAAGTAATGCATATATGGCATTGAGAAAAGCAATAATGGTCTGATAAAGTGACAGAAACAAATTAGGGTGAAAATACAAAGTTTGTTAATTGTCTATGACTTGTAAACAAAGAAAAAACCTTATGAGCAGTGATCATGTGGGTATCTAGCTCTTAAAAGTAACTTACCTTTACACTTTGGGGGGCATTTTAGACACCATTGCTTAGGTACCAAGATCAGAGGCTCTCAAAATTTTAGACAGCTCTTTGCAAAGTATGAATTTTGGGAGCCAGAAAGGTCTCCAAACTCCTTCCCGGTGGGCACAGGGATGCAGCATGTTTGGAGGTGGAAGGAGGAAAATACTCTACTTAATCTGTACCACTATCTCACCTACAGTTAAGAGTGTATGATCAGGAGTCAACCACCAACAGTTACATTGCAGGTACGTGTGGTGGTGGGAGGGTATTCCCATTTCAGAAATGCTTATGCAAGTGAAGTACTGGAGGGCTCAGTTCACATTACTCCTACCTCTTATAGGTATATAGATACAGCATAGCATGGCTGTAAAATGCCACCCACTCAGAGTGCTGCTGTTTTATAGCTCTGTAGCCTCTCTCAGCTAACCAATTTCCTACCTTTGCAAGAGGTCACGGTATAGGTTTCTTTCCTGCTCTCTTCCTGTGGCACAAGGTAACTTCTGAGGACTTCATTTGTGTGCTAGAAATCCACAATTTGTGTTTGGTGGTTGGGGCCTCCTGATGGCCTGGGGTGTGTGGAAGTGGCCAGAGTTCATGTTCTCGTGCACCTTTTGGACTTAATCTCTATTTTAGGATTGCCTGAAATTGCAGGAATACAACCTGATGACCCAAGTTGTTCCCTCCACTTCCAATATTCCTAGGAGAGAGGGAAAATGCAAAATGGAAATAAACAATTCCCCAGGTCTTGTCTGGCATAAATAAAGTGATCTGGGTCCTGCTTACGGCATCACCAAGCTGGCTAGATGACATGGGTTTTATTAAATTTATGAGCAAGGGGCCTCACTCAGAACAGTAATCTTAACTCACAGGAACAAGAATATGCAGGGTTGTCTCATTAGCGATGAATCAAGATTTCCTCATACACCTGCTCTCAAGAGAATTATTCCGGTGGAACGAAAGTAATGTTACACTTGAGATTCCAGTAATGTTTGTGGGGGCACTTAAAAAAACCCGGTATTTTTCTTCTAAGAATGCCTTGTTTAGGAGACTTTAAGCAGAGTTAATGCAACAAGGTGACTTCTGTTTAGTATTACTTAAAGCTGAAAAAATTTTCTTGGTTTGATAAGGGGAAACAGCAGCAGAAGTTTGACAAGGCAGAATCCACAGAATAAATGGTCTGAGCTCAGCTTCAAAATATCTGTCTTTTTAACAAGGACTCCCTTCCAACCTGAGTCCCGGCAAGCAGCAAAAATAGCTGCCCTGCTATGGCAAATTTAAATGGGGTCATCGTCTTCCTCCTACCCGTAAATCTGACACCTCGTGTTACACAATGACAAATAGTCTCCCAGGTTTCTCCGCAATGGGCGCTCGCCAAAACAGGCCCCACCTGATATGCAAAATGCACTCGGGTCTAACACAAAACACGCTCGGGCCAACCAGAAAAGGGCTGGTTCATTCCCTTGGTGAGCTCCGACTCTGACAACTTAATTACTGTAACTGAATGCAAATATTAATTGAGCTCCATGCATTGAGTCTTACACAAAATGCATTAGGCATCAGAGCCTGCTCTCTGGCTAACCCGAGCAGTTCAGAAGGCATTTGTGAGCCCAGAAAACAAGAACGCTACTCAGAAACTCTTGTATTGATAAGAATTTTAATAACCATGGGCCACTGAACACAGAACCAGCAGGGCATGGAGACAGGCAAGGAGGTGCCAACCCAAAAAAAAAAAAATACCAAACCCTTCAGTTCAGGTAGAGCTTTTGTAAAATCGTAAATCATCTGGAAAGGCTGTTAAATGCCAGCAATGTTCCCCCTCCACTCCCATGTTGTACCTGTTGAAGAAACGTGTAACCACCCTACAACTCCAAACATGGCTTCTCTTAAACCTCTTGAAAGCAAAGATGCAGCACTACTTGTCCTCCCTTCCTTAAATGGGGGCCTGAGAAATAATTATGTAGTGCTCCAGGTGCACATGGTTGCTTATAACACTTGTGATACACTAAAAAAAAACAACCCACAGAAAGTGAGATCATTTTTTCTCTAACAAGCAAATAATCCAACAGGGACAGCTAGAAATCGGAGCATGAACATTCTAGTTGCGACAAGTTAGGAGATGGAAAGACCTTGGAGAATATAGTTTCATAGTTAGTCGGGTTGGAAGGGACCTGAGCAGATCATCGAGTCTGAACCCCTGCCATGGCAGGAAAGAGTACTGGGGTCAAACGACCCTGGCAATGTGATTGTCTAGCCTACTTTTGAAGACCCCCAGGGTAGGAGCCAGCACCACTTCGCTTGGAAGTTGGTTCCAGATCCTAGCCGCCCTAACCGTGAAGTGGCGCCTCCTGATGTCTAGTCTGAATCTCCCCTCTGCCAGCTTGTGACCGTTAGTCCTGGTCACTCCTGGTCGTGCTCGGGGGAACAGGGACTCCCCCGTTGCCTGCTGGTCCCCCCGACTAGTTTATAACAGGTCACTAGATCCCCCCTCAGCCTTCTCTTGTGGAGGCTGAACAGGTTCAGGTCCCGTAGCCTCTGCTCGTAGGGCCTGCCTTGCTGCCCCCTGATCATGCGGGTGGCCTCCCCTGGACCCTCTCCATGTTGTCCACATCCCTCCTGAAGTGCGGTGCCCAGAACTGGACGCAGTACTCCAGCTGTGGCCTGACCAGTATCGCACAGAGGGGAAGGATCACCTCCCTGGACCTGCTCGAGATGCATCTGTGGATGCATGACAAGGTGCGGTTGGCCTTCCTGACCGCGTCCCCACACTGCCGGCCCATGTTCATCTTGGCAT